GAGGACCGTACCCTGCACACCTGTAGGACAGTACTGTCAGGTCATGTTAGAAGGGTACTTTGCAACCTTCCAGACATGTCAGAACATGAACAGTGTTGTGGGCGCCGACATTTGTCCTACAGTATGGTGGGCGTCGACATTTACCATACCGAGAAAAGAACACGATGGAGCCAACCACATGTATCTCAGGCATCAATAGTATTGTGGGCGCCGACAAACCGTCTTGTACCCTATGGCGTGAGCAAACCAGACTAGTAGCACACACCTCTCTCCATCTCACTTGTAAGGTCGTCCCCTTCAACTATAAAAGGGGATGCGCCCTCTCCCAACAGGGAGGGACAACAAAAGACAAACGAACAAAGGAACAACAGACGGATCATTCCGACTCACTCTCTGCTAGCTTTAGACATTCTAAAGCTATACAGAGCATATCGTTCAATACTTAAGCGCATGTAGGAGCTCCCGTCACTCTCGGCTCTTCCGTCCGAGTCCGACCGACCTCTAACACCCCCATCTTACTCCCACTTGTTTGTAACCCCACAAAGAAATTTCGAGCACACAGGCTCGGGAATAAAGTCACCGAATCGACTCAAAGCGGACGTAGGGCATGTTGTTTGAACCAAGATAACCCTATGTCATTGAGTACTAGACCACATCCGATCACAACGTATGGCAAAACGATAAATATTTACTTGTTGGTCATTTTTCGCACCGACAAAACTAAATTTAATAATTCTTTCATGTTGAAGCACAAAGCCCAATGCATAATTTTCAAATCTTTTCCACTTAAATAGTCTAAAGTAGTTTAAGATTCTCGTTGAGGATAATTAATTCGGTCCTTTGTGGTGTCGGAGACTCCTCCGGCTGTTCACTTGATCGTATTAGGCTTATAAGCTATGACTTATCACCAATGAATAGATTTTTCTCTCACATCAAATCAATCAATGAGATACTTTCGTACCATGGCTTATAAGCCAAACAAGCCCAAACAAACAGGGGCACTCATCAGCTCGAAGAACCACTCAAGACAACCAAATTTGGCAGCACCATCAAACATGTTTCAAGGCACCGATGATGGTAGGTATCCCTTTGATACTCCGTTGCAATTACTGATCGACGATATGGTGGTTAGGTACTTCTTCTACCTTGTTGAAGGTAGATATTCATCTGTTTTTACACTACTTCAGCTTTAGTGAAGGACTAGTGTTTTCTCTCACAACGGTTCTGCATTTTCAGCACTACTTTAGTAGCGAAGGAACAATGTTTTTCTCTCATAACAAATTAGTATCAACAAAGCAGCTAAATTTCAACGAAAACGAACAGGGGCCAACAAATCAGCATCGACATCGTGACGAAGTCAAATTTAGTGAAATGAACAGGGCCATTTTATATTAAGAAAAAAGATGAGTATTGGAGCAGCTCTCTAAATGAGAAGAACGTGAGTGTGAGCAACCGGCCATCACAACGCCTATGAACAACGAAGTAAAAATATCAAATACAATGTTCTTGATCTAAGATTAGCATTAATGCAAGAAAACAAACACAGGATTACCAAGTTAGCTCTTAAAATCTGCAGTGCAGGGAATGTGAGGCTTGACTTGCAGACCGTGTTGTGCACATATAATCAAGTCTGTTATGCCTAGGTCATTCTCAATTAGATTAGATTGAACAAAATAAAATATCCCATTCAACAAGGTAGAAACAGGCCCTACAATCGATCGTACCATCGCTCGACCATTGCACGGGAGTGTCAACGGAAATACTCGGATGCGGGCATCTGTCCCCTTCTTGTCGATTCAGGCGTGGCTTCCAATCCGCCTCGCCCATCTCTCTATCTCTCCACTCTGTCTCACCCTCCCCATCAGTCTCTCATGTCCGCTGGAAGCAGCGAGAGGCTCACGCCGCCACCGTTGCTTCCTTCCTCCATCCAAGCCAACCATGTCTCCTCCTCGATTCGCGCGATGCCTCCACGGCTCTTCCTCAACCCAATACCTGTCAGGATGCGTCGCCGCCACGGGCCGTCACCGCTGCCCAACCGATGGCAGCTCAGCGCAGTACCGGGCACCTCAGTCATTTCTAGCCAAGCCGAGGGCACCTATGAGCGCTTGGCGGTATTGGTGGTGCTTGCACGCCGCCGGCTCCCACCCTGACGGCCCGAATTGAACGGCCTTGTTCTCTCCCCCTATGTTGCAAATGTATGTTTCAATTGTTGCAGATGTTTTGAGGTATGGTGCAAGTGTTTTTAGTATAGATGTTGCAAAAAGTAGATCGGGATATTGCATATATTGCAATGGCTATACACGTATGTTGCAAACATCTGCTTTCAAATGTTTCATCTGCTTTTTTCGGGGCGTATGTTGCAAGTGTTTTTATTTGATGTTGCGTATGTTCACATGTATGTTTGCAAGTGTTTTTTTAGGATGTTGCATATGTATTGCAATAGCTTTTTCAACGCAAGTGTTTTAGACGTATGTTTTAAATATTTCATCTTTCTTCAGACGCATGTTGAAAAGTTTTATCTATATGTTTCAAAAGTAGATCGACAGTAGTACATGTTGCAATGTGACTCACCTGCCACAGCCCCCTGCTGCAGCTGCGGGGGTGCCGTGCATACGTGTGGGAAGCGGAGGGGTGGAGCAGCGCGCGGCTACGAGCACGGGAAGCGGTGTGGGCAGTCCCCGCTTGGCACGGACGTGTAGCAGCCGCGGGCTTCCAGGTGTCCGTCCGGATCGTGTGGGTGTTAGTATTGCCCGATTATCAAAGGACACCTACCATCGCCGAGATTGGCGGACCCAGCACTTGGGCAACTAGGGCCTTGGCCCTAGTCGTGGCCCAAGTTGCTAGGGAGTGAGTAGGTCTTCAGTATTTTTTGGCCCAGCCCATCAGACATCAGCGTCCAAAAGGCAGGGAATAGGGCAGTGCCAGTCCTGAGTCGCGAGTTCGCGACCCTAGCGGCCTCGCCTCCTCACTCGCGTTCAGGCTTTGGTGGAGTCGCGCCGCTTCTGCCGCTCGGGTCCGCCTCCAGTTGCCATTGCCCATTCACTTGCCTTTGTCGGCTCGCCCCTACGTCTCGATATATGCGCTCCGTGGACCGCAGCTCCATATGGCGGTCATTGCCGCCCGCCACCTTCATGGCCCGGCACGCCCTACGGTGACCGCCCGACCCCTCAAAGACCTCGGCCCTTCGGCTACCACCGAAGCCATAGGGCTTGCCCATTGGGATCTTCAATGTGGTGCATGACCAAGTTATTGTTGAATTAAATAATTGGTTTGCTGAAAGTTCTACCTAGTTATTGGGATGCATTACATGTTTAGATCCACGGAATTCTTTTGACAAACTAATTGAACTTGATGAGATTTATTTAGAATTCTACTTGATGAGATTTATGATATGATCATGATCAGCTTCTGCACCAACTTCATTCGAATTTTGGCCGTTAAATTTGGCCTAGTCTTAGCCAAATTCTGGGTCCGCCGCTGATCGCCGGTGCTTCCAAACATGGAGCGTGTTCGGCTGGCATTAAATAAACACGGTAGCAGCTATAAAAATAGAAAATACTGTAGCTGCAGGTAAATGGTGGAAAAAACATTGTTCCGGCTAGAAAAAAAAGTCTGACCAGCCAGCGAGAAATGGCCAGCCGCAACACGCTCATGGTTGATGGTGCTGCCAAATTTGGCCGTGCTGAGTGATTCGTTCGAGCTGATGATGAGCCTCTGACGGTCGGATGCCCGGCGATGTGGTACAGAGAACTCGCTGGCTGCGGCGCACAAGAGCACCAGCGACGGGCAGTACTCCTCCCCTGGAGTGGAGTGAGCTCACAGTTCGCAAAGCAAGACGAGGTCCCGGGAGTTGACGTGGTAGATCCCGCCTCTCCCATTGGCCAGGCCACGGCACCACCCCGTGTGGCCCCCACCCGCTAAACTGCCAGGAACCTTCCTCTCCTTCCTCGCGAAGCAAGACTTCCGAGAGATAGAGAGCCCGCTATAAAACCGCACGGCTGCGACCACCACGACAAAATATCTCGCCGTCCATCCCCATGGACATCGACCTCTTCCCGACATCGACCTTGACGCCCTCCTCGCCTCTTTCTCCGGCGAACCCGCCGCCGTCTCCGACCTCATCGTCCCGTCCCCGCCTCCGCCGGCGCCGGCGACGGCGCACGATGCGGAAGCGGGGTCGCCGGAGTCGGTGACCTCCCGGGCGAACCCGCCCGGGAGGTGGCGCTCTCGGAGATCGAGAGGTTCCTGATGCAGGAGGGGAGGCGGAGTTGACCGGCGAGGTCGAGGGGATCAGCGTGGATCAGTTCTTCGACGCGCTGTACGACGGCGGGAGGGAAAGATGAGGGCGAGGCGGGGGCAAGCACGGATGCGGACTCCGGCAGGGACGAGGTGGTGGAAGTCGTGACGCCAGAGGCGGAGACGGTGGAGGTGGATGGCGATGATCCCGTCAGCAAGAAGAAGAGGAGGTATGTTGATTCTGTTGTGTTAGTGCAGGACGTGTGAAAACTCTTTCCCTTCGTTTAAGAAATTGAGGGGATTTATGTGATCATGCTTGCTAGTGAAATTTAGGACCTACATGGCAGTTAGGGATGGACCATATGCCTAGGTTTGGGTGGATTATTGCTTAGGTTGTATGCAGAAATCGTGTTCCATCTAATTCATAATGTTTGGTATTTAGTGTAAACTCTATCGAATGAAAGAAATGTCTGCGAGTGATAACTAGGAGATTCGAATTCGTAATCGTAAATTGCAAAAACTAGGAAGAGTATTTGCAAGGATATTTAGAAGATAGCATATGCACAAATGATTACCTTGGTTGCACTGTGAACTGCTAGAAATTTGGTCAGCAGATGGGAAGAATCTGATTCATGAATTCAAGATGCTTTTTTTTTTGTTCTTTTACATTTTGCTTCTAAAGTCTAATTAGGCAATTTTATCTCCTGTATAAAAACAACCTGCCTTGTGAATTTATCAGGCAAATGAGGAACAGAGATTCCGCAATGAAATCCAGGGAGAGGAAGAAGTCGTACATAAAGGACTTGGAGACGAAGAGCAAGTATTTGGAGGCAGAGTGCCGCCGCCTCAGCTACGCACTTCAGTGCTATGCAGCTGAGAACATGGCACTGCGCCAGAGTTTGTTGAAGGATAGGCCTGTTGGTGCTCCCACAGCCATGCAGGAGTCTGCCGTACTCACGGGTAAGCCATATCATCCTTCCTCTAATCTTATCCATTCCCTGAAATTAGATGAATCGATTTGTTTACCATCAATCAGTCCTCTCTGTGGCTTGAACCATGGTTATGATGATCAGTCATAAATTACCAAGCAAGTGACAAATCAAAAGCACAAGGGAAACCGGATTTTTGGTAGAATCTTGCAGTCGTGATGCTAAGACAATTGTCTTTTATTTGCAGAAACCCTGCCGCTGGTTTCCCTGCTTTGGCTGGTGAGCATCGTCTGCCTGTTCCTGATGCCCGTTCTGCCCAACCGAAGTCCAGCTGCTCCAAGCAGCGGCGGAAGAGATCTCGTGGTGGCAGCCGGAAAGACAAGCAGTGAAACCCCAGAGATACCTGAACTCATCCTGCATGGAAGGCGTTGCAAGGGCACGAGGGCGAAGTTTAAGCTATATAATTTACCATTTCATGCAGTAGCTGCTGGCATGTTTTGAACTTATCAGCCGTACAGTTTCAGCGAAGTAACAGTATTTTCTTTCCCAATAAATCAGCATCAGCATCAACCATTTTTCAAGCCAGCCGAACGGGGCCTTGCAAGCTTACCTGTAGTAGTGTACTTGCAATTGCAAATCTAGCGTGTCCGCTATGCGCCTATCATGCAGAGAAGCCTGTCGATATCCATGGAGTAGTACCTTTTATCTCTTTTTATTTTTTGTTTGTTTAATAGCTCCTGTGCTATCCAGTAATAGTTTTAAAATCTGGGTTTTGTGTTATTTTCTATTTCGTCACCTTGTTTCTAGTTGCTCCTGATATAAAGTTCCTTTGCTCGAAAATCTTTGGAAGTATATGGTCTGATCTATGATGTACTCCTACCAATAAAATTGAGACGTGAATGGATCTTTGAGATTTTTGTTTCATGCAAGGATGGCAAAAGCTTTGCCTTAATTTTCTTTTCTTTTTTTTTGACAAAATACTCGGCGAGCTTTATTGATCGAGAGATATTACATCGTTCATCAAAAACTCAAGAATAAAACTAGGAGGCTCATTATCCCAATTACAATTAAGTTTCGTCTGCATGCCTCGCCTAGCCAGCTCATGCACCGTCTTGTTCGCTTCTCTGCTGCAATGCTCGATGGAGATCATCTGAAACCCGCTTCAAACAATATTACACTCATCATACACAGCAACTGCTGAATTTGCCGAGAATCCTCCGTTTGCCATTGTTTCCACCACTTCCATGTAGTCAGACAGGACAATCAGTCGGTTGTAACCTGCATGTTGTGCTAGCAACAACCCTTCCTTCAATGCAAAAGCTTCCGCCATGGGAGCGCCCACCAGATAGGGGAGAAAAGTATGTGAAGCTGCTATCGTTCCCCCCGTCCAATCTCTTATAATAACACCAGTGCTGTCGTTCCCGTTCCTTCATCAAAGGAGGCATCAATATTAACTTTAACAAACTCCTTCGGAGGTTTCTACCAGCCCTGTCGTTCTTTGGTGCCCTTTATAGTCGCCATCTTGTAATTCTTTGTTAGGGTAGCAATAAACAAGCCGGATCTTGATGGTCACTGAATGTTCTCACCATGCACAAGCTTGCGTCTCTCCCACCAGAGATACCAGCCGCCCGTAAGAATAAGCTCTAAAAATCCAGCACCAAGATGATCTACAATCTCCCCCCTTTTGAGCACTTCCTCAATAATTATTGACCCATACCGATCAGTGCCTATGACCTCTAAAATTTTCTCCCAAACTCCTAACACGGCCTTTGCTCGGTCATTGGTAAAAATTACATGTTTGATATCTTCAGCACCATTTTTGCAAATTGGTCACCCACCAATGTTGCTGATGTGGCGATTAGCTAGGACAGCCATACATGGAATGAACCCGTGCAGTTCTCTCCATCCAAAAATCTTGATTTTACCTGGCAGGTCCAATTTCCATAAACATTTCCATGCTTGGCTTCTACTCGCACCAGTTTCCTACAAAGTGTGAATTCTTGGACCATACTTACTTTCCCATTGGCAGTGGTAAGCTGACTTCACAGAGAACATCCCATTCCTATTATAGTGCCATGCCACGCAATCTTCTCTCCCCAAGGTGAGTGAAATCTGCAAAATCTAATTTACATCAACTGGCCAGAAAATTGACTTCACCAAATCGACGTCCCATGTTGCATCCACAGGTTGATGTAGGCGAAAAAACAAATGCAGCTCAAAAGCAAGAAAGGAAGGAATAGGGGCGACTTCAATTAGGTTCAAAAGAAATACCAAAACAAGACAGGAGATTCCTCACAACTCCAAAACAAAAGCAAAACGTAAATTCTAATACGTGACCTGTCGCGCCGGAGCGCGGCGCAGGCCCACCCACAGCGCGATGTAGGTCCTCCCCCACCCCACCCTCACAGCAGGCGTGCCGACGTCGGAGATAGAGACCTCACCAACGTTAGGATTCTAGCATCTCTTGCTCCCACGCTCTCTCTCTCTATCTATCTATCTACCTATCTATCTATCTATCTCTCTCTTCTTCTTCTTCTACATGACTCCACGACAGCCATGGCTCGGCGGTGGAGGCGGGCAAGATGGTGGCGGGGAGTGCAAATTTGATATACCAAAAAAATTAAAACGACCTATAATTTGGAACGTAAGGAGTGCATTCTTTCCTATTGTCTATCCAAGTGATCATTCTTTTCAAATTCATGTGTTTTCCAGTCCTTTGTTTTGCAACTATATATTCCTAATCAGTTCTTATGTTTTTTATTAGAATTGCTAAACAACACTCGATCGTTTCTTTTCCTCTCCGCACTTGATTTCCAACGACCGTGCCCACGGCTAGGGATCCGGCGAGGAACTCGCTAGCGTCGAAGACGATGAGCTCGCCGGTGTCGGGTAAGTTTAGCGCGAGCTCTCTACAGCTTCTCTCCCTCTTCTTCTCAAAGTTTGGCGGGCATAGGAGGTTTCGGGGAAGGTAGGGCAGCCAGGCGGTGGGGACGGCGGCCAGGCGGTTTCTAGCGGCGATGGAGGCAGACGGGCCAGGTCGGGGCGGGGGCGCAATGGCTGAAGCTCGCCACAGAAGCCAGAGATCAGGGAGGGGAAGAAGAAGACAGTGCGGGACAGTGGTCGGCGACGGGGGGCGAGGAGGAAGATGAACAGTGAAGAGGAAAGAATAGAATGTCGATCCCTCGGTTATTGGGTAGACAATTCCTATTTTATCGATAATGCTGGGTATAGGGCGTCCGTCCGCCTAGACGGTGCCAATGGTGGGCCACGACGCAGGCCCAGCAACCGCATCTTGTCTGCTCATCCACTCGCTTACTCGGCCCCAACTGTTCTAAAAAAAGGAAAACTCACCTCACAGCAGCGCTGCGATAGCTCTCCTTGACCGCGCTCCGCTACGCCGCCTCAGCAACGACGCTCTCCATCGCGCTTCCCTCTCCACCGCACCTCCGTCTCCATCGCGCCTCCGCTCTGCCGGCCAGCATCTCCTCCGCGCCAAAGCACGACAGCCCATCTTCCTCCCTCTCCACCGCGTCTCCCGCTAGCTGTGTGCTTCTCTAGCGCGCGGACGCACCGTAGCCTTCTCCACGGCACCTGCCGCAACCTTCTCCATTGGAGCAGCGAGCTCCGCGCCATCGGTGAGCTCTACACTGGTGAACTCCACACGCCAATGAGCCTCCATTCCTGAGTAGCAAGAAGATGTTGTACTGAAAGTGCATATTGCAAATATATGTTTCAAGTGTTTCAGATGTTTTAGAGGTATGTTGCAAGTGTTCATATGGATATTGCAAAAGTAGATCGGGATGTTGCATATGCTGCAAGTGTTTTAGAGGCATGTTGCAAGCGTTTATTCAAAGTGTTTCATCTGTTTCAGATGTATGATGTAAGCGTTTTTTATCTGGATGTTGCATATGTTTTACACATATGTTCTAAATGTTTCAACTGTTTTATTTTTATGTTGCAGTAAGTGTTTTCATGTTGCAAATGTATTATCTGGATGTTGCATGTGTTTCACACATATGTTGCAAGTGTATGTTCCAAATGATTCATCTGCTTTAGACTTGTGTTGCATTCAAGTATTTTCATGTTGCAAGTGTTTCGTGTTTTAGAGGTATGTTCAGAGAGTCATGGGGCTTGGCCCGGGCATTAAGGGAAGGGGCGCAGCGAGCTAGGGGCCTTCAGATGGGGCGCACGACGCGCCTGGGGTCCTGCGAACAGGGCGTGCTCGTCCTCATCCAAGCTCCTGGGTCCCGCCCACACAGAGAGAGGAGGGGGTTTGGGGGAAGGAGTGGCAGGCACAGCCGGGCGAGGCGAACGGGAGCGGGGCGAGGCGAACGGAACGGACGTGCGTGGATAGCAGCGACACAACACTGCAGCAGGCACGGGGCGGATGGCTGGGGCAGCAGCATGCGTGGGGACTTCGGACGTGCTCATCTACTCCGAACGTCCGGGCGCCAATAAGCCCCCATTTTTATTCCTATTTTAGCTTTCCTTTGTTGCAAAGGTGTCTTAAACTGAACCAAAAAAGAGTTTGGAAGTACCCTTGCCAAATAAAATTAGGATTAAGTCTACTTTTGGCCCCTTAACTATAGGGTTCGTCTAATTTTAACCCTCAACTACAAAATCGTCTAGCGGTGATACCCCAATTGTCAAAACCGTTTACTTTTAGCACCTGGGCGAGAGCATGGCTGTTTTGTCCTACGTGGAGCGGGTTTGACCACGCCACGCTGGTGTTGACCGCCACGTAGGATGCCAACCTCCATCTCAGTGACATATGGGGCCCACACGTCACCCACTCATCACCTCCCTTCCCAACGAAGCCGCGCAGGCTACAGGACGCAGGCGCCTTAGCCAGTAAGATATGGCTGCAGGCTCCGGCCGCCGGGGGCAGCTAGCCGCAGGCTTGAAGGCCGCCGCAGATTTTGAGAGGGAGGAGAGCGTCGACAAGGGTAGCGAAGGCGCGCGGCCAAAACGCTACTACACGTGCACGCACAACCATGGCGGTGGAGGAGGCCTGCCGACGAGCAGCGCCGGGCCCACGCGGCTCGGCCGGAGGCGGGGCGTGGCCTGCTGACCACGCGTGCTGGCAGCCCGGCGGCCACGATCGTGGTGGGGAGGAGCTGAGGAGACCCCTAGGGCCCCGGCGCTCGCCGGTGCGGCGTCCATCGGCACGGTGCAGTTACGTCGGGCAAAAGAGCGATGCGCCGTCCAAGCTAACGAGTCTACGAGCATATATGGACCAAAGCAAAACCCTAGGCGGCGGTTAGAAGTTAAATGATGAACTGTAGCGCTCTGCCCACGCCGGCGGCGAACTGCTACGGCGGCGCGACTGTTCCGGCAAGCCTAGACAGTGAGGGAGTGGTAGATTGAGTGGGAGCATCCACGTCTTACTCTGGTGCTAGCAGTGCCTACGGTTGAGGCGGAGGGTGTCGGTTAAAGGCTGGCCACGTGCGGGCAGCGAGGTTGGCGGCGCTCCACGGCGGACACGGCCACGTCACTGGCCGAACGACTGCGGTAGAGGTTCAGGTGAGGTGAGCACGAGCTATATCAAGTCTCAGCGAGTTTATTAGTGGTATTTTATTAGACTCTACCGTTCGGTGGAGCTCAACCCCCAATTTTCTACTGTTGCGGCGGCTGAAGTGACCGGAGGGTAAGGGAGAGGTGCAGGGGCAGTAGAGCCGCATAGAGGAGGCTCAGTGTGGGCGGCATTATTGTTGCGGTTTGTGCGGCTGCTCTGTCCACGGTGGGCGCAGTCGCAGCTGCAGAGGGCAGACGGCTGCTCTATCGTGGCGAGCTCGGCTGGGGCGCAGGGAGGAGGGCGCCGTAGCTTGCTCGCGCGCTGCCGTGTTGCTCGGGCGCCGCCGCCGCAACTTGCTCGAGCGCCACCGCCCTGCTCGCGAGCCGTTGCCGCCGCATGCTCACGCACCGTGGCAACCTGCTCAGCCTGCTCGAGCGTCGCGTTGCTGTGATGCTCGTGCGTCGCCGTCGCAGCCTGCTCGTGCCGCTGCCCTGCTCCCGCACTACGTCCTCGGTTGCCTCCTTCACGAGCGCAGGAACGGAAGGAAAGAGGGCATGTGTAGCGGTCAATGCCAGCTGGGCATGGTCAAAACCGCTCCACGTAGGATGAAACAGCTTTGTCCGTGTCCAGGTGTTAAAAGTGAACGGTTTTGACAGTTGTGGTATCATTATTAGACGGTTTTGTAGTTGATGATTAAAATTAGACTAATCCTGTAGTTGAGGGGGGAAAATGGACTTAATCCATAAAATTACTGAGCCTCGCCCCTAAGCTAGCAGATCGTTCCAATACGTGCAGTGTACTCCCTCCCGTTGATCTGTTCCAGCTTCCAAGTCACCTCCTGCTCCGCTTCTACGCTCTTTCTAGAACAACCAAATACCAGCAGCAGAGCAGAGCTAGCAAAGAGCAAACGCGTCACCGGCCACCAGATCTCTCCCGTACTCCACACCCCGCCTCCGATGAATCCACCCGCCGCCGCCTAGACGCGCCGCCCCAGTCCCCACCACCACACACTCCGCGCCACCGCCCAATGTCGTCGTCGGAGCCCGATGCCGAGGGCGCCCTCGGCGGCGCCTCCCCATCCGCCCGCGTGCTCGCCCGCGCCCTCGACAAGATCATCAAGCACTCCTCCTGGCGCCGGCACGCCGCGCTCGTCGCCGCCTCTAAGTCCGCGCTCGACCTCCTCTCCTCCTCCCCGGCTCCTGATGACGAGCCCGACACCTCCTCGCCCTCCCCCGTCCCCGGCCTCCCAGCGCCCGCCGCCGCCGCCGCCCTCGCCGCACTTCTCCTCGCGCTCGACCCGGCGTCCCCGAAGGTGGCCGAGCCCGCGCTCGAGTGCGTCGCCGGCCTCCTCTTCCTCCGCCTTCTCCTCGGCGACGTCGACGCGGTCGACCCCTCCCCGGTCCCGAAACTCTTCGCCGCGGTGCTCTCCTGCATCTCGCTCGGTGGCGGCGGGGACGAAGCGCTCGAGCTCGCCGTGCTGCGCGTTCTCGTCGCTTTCGCGCGGTGCCCGGGCGTCTCCGTCAGCGGGGAGTGCCTGGGCCAGGTGGTCAAGGCGTGCTACAACGTCTACCTCGGGAGCGCCAGCGGCGGCAACCAGCTCTGTGCCAAAATGGCCCTCGCACAGGTGCTGGTCATCGTGTTCGCGCGCGTCGAGGCCGACGCCATGGACGTCCGCGTGCGCACTGTCTCCGCTGCCGACATGATTGACCTCTCTGACCGCAGCCTCAACGACTCCAGCGTCGTACAGGCGGCTCAGGTGTTCTTAAACGAGGCCATGGAGGGGAGCGACGTGCCGGAGGAGGCACCCCCTGTAGATGCGGCATCAGTTGAGGCGGAAGGCACTGGGGAGGATGGTGGAATAAGCAAGATAAGGGAGGATGGCCTGGCTTTGTTCAAGAACCTATGCAAGTTGTCAATGAAGTTTGATACGCCTGATAGCCCCGAAGATCCAATGCTATTAAGGGGGAAGGTGTTGTCGCTGGAGCTGGTTAGGATGGTCATTGACAATGCAGGGCCATTCTGGAAGACGAATGAAAAGTATGTGCCATACCATGATGGTTCTGATTATCAATTTTATTGCAATGTTTCATTACGAGTCTCCGCTGGTTATGTTGCATTGAATCTTAATGGTTGTGGGTGATAAGATGTTGCATTAAGTCATAATGGTTGTGGGTGATAAGAGTAGAACCGTGGAAGCCAGGAACGGTAAAGTGGGATATGTGGAAGTGAAACATATGGTCTGTTTGGACAAGCTGTGATGCTCCAATTTTTGGGGCTTGGTTGAAATTTTAACTGAACCAATCTGAGAGCCTTTGCAAGGTCTACTATGTTTTCCACTTTCGCTGGTTGGGCACTGTTATTTTTTGTTCATGTTTATATCTGTTGCTGGGGCAAGGATCTAATTGGTGAAGGAAGCAATGACGATTTTATCATATAAGTATATAACTAAAATGAGAGCTGCAAGAGAGTACTGATGGATATTTAACAATCTAGATTTTTTTCCAACTAGAAGGGCGGGCCTGGTGCAAGCGGTAGAGTCTTACTGCCTGTGACCGGAAGGTCCTGGGTTCGAGTCGCGGTCTCCTCGCATTGCACAGCCGAGGGTAAGGCTTGCCACTGACACCCTTCCTAGACCCCGCACAGAGCGGGAGCTCTCTGCACTGGGTACGCCCTTTTTTTTTTAGATTTTTTTCCAACCGTGTGCATACCCCATGTCCCCATGCATGCTGACATTACATGCATGGATGGTACACAGACCCTCAGACCTGCAGATCCGAACCAATACTGGTGGTGGTAATAAGAGAAAATGCTAATGAAAACCATTATGGTGTGATTGGTACTCTAAATTGTAATCTGTGTTTTTTTTAAAAAAAAATATGATAAAGCTTAGTCATGTGGGGATGTATCCAACAAGCAGCAACACCACAAATAATTCGTACTGGAAGTTGTTTTGCTCATTTGATGTAGGACTGCTGAATTGATTATAGGCCCAACAGACAATGCAAATGACTGATCCTGTATTTTTTATCTCCTATTAATGCAGGTATCTTGAAGCAGTTAAGCAGTACCTTTGTTTATCCTTGTTGAAGAATAGTGCCTTGTCTGCAATGAGTGTCTTCCAGTTATTGTGTTCCATCTTTATGAGTCTAATATCAAGGTTTAGATCTGGTTTGAAAGAGGAAATTGGAATGTTTTTTCCTATGCTTATCTTAAGAGTTCTTGAAAATGTTCTCCAGCCTAGCTTTTTGCAGAAGATGACAGTTCTAAACTTTTTGGAGAAGATATCTGAAGAACCTCAGGTTATTATTGATATCTTTGTGAACTTTGATTGTGATGTTGATGCACCAAATATTTTTGAAAGATGCGCTATTATTATTTTTGGATGGGCATTCTCCTTCAGTTTCATTTTTTTACTTGAGCACAATTATTCTCTTCTAGTTCTGCTGTACCAAAGATATGCCTCTCTCTTTATAAGTCTACAGTGAAGCAGTTTTAATTCTATCTGGTCTTCACAGGATTATTAATGGACTTCTAAAGACTGCTTTAGGTGTCCCTACTGGATCTACAACAACATTAACTGTTGCACAAGACCAAACATTTAGGATTGAGTCTGTCAAGTGCCTTGCTACTGTTGTTAAGTCGATGGGTGCATGGATTGACCAACAACTGAGAATTGGTGAATTTTCACCAGGCAGTTCTGAAACTCTAAGTTCAGCTGAGAACCATAATATTCATAATGGAGAAGAAGGGAGCGGAATAGATTATGAACTGCAGCTTGACACTAGTAGTTCTGACATAACTGACTCTTCCTCACTTGAGCAACGGCGTGCTTACAAGATAGAGCTTCAGGTGTGGTTGCTTGAACTATGGTTTCCCCACAATTAGACTTTCTATCTTTGGGATAACTATAAGATTTTTTTTTTGTTTGTTTGCAGAAAGGAATTACCTTGTTCAACAAAAAACCTTCCAAAGGTATCGATTTTCTCATTCGGAGCAAGAAAATAGTCAATTCTCCAGAAGATGTGGCTTCTTTCTTGAGAAATACTGCTGGATTAAATGCAACAATGATAGGCGACTATTTGGGTGAGAGGGATGACTTTCCCCTCAAAGTAATGCATGCTTATGTGGACGCTTTAAACTTCGAAGGCATGGACTTTGGTCAAGCAATTAGGTTCTTCTTGCAAGGTTTCAGGTTACCAGGAGAAGCTCAAAAAATTGACCGGATCATGGAAAAGTTTGCTCAATGCTACTGTAAATGCAATCCAAATGCTTTTACTAGTGCAGATACAGCATATGTTCTTGCTTATTCTGTGATCTTGCTAAACACTGATGCTCATAATCCGACGGTGAAGAACAAGGTATGCTAATTATGATTTTATTATCATATGGGAATGTCAATAAAGCAATGTAGATATTTTCACTCCATCACAGGTAATGTAAATTTTCTTGTGCAGATGTCTAAGGCAGATTTTATGCGCAACAATCGAGGAATAGATGATGGGAAGGATTTGCCAGAAGATTATTTGAGTACACTGTATGACCAGATTGTCAACAATGAAATCAAAATGACTGCTGATTCTTCAGTTGCACAAACCAAGCAATCCAATAGTGTAGGCAGGCTTCTAGGCTTGGACAATATTATCAACTTTGTCAATTGGAGATCAGCAGAAGACAAGGCAGTAGGAGCAAATGACTTGCTCATTAAGCACATACAGGAAAAATTCAAAGCAAAACGTGGGAAATCAGAGTAAGATCTCCATCATTCTATCAGAAAGTACTTATTGGTCTCAGCGACATTTTATTAATTTGAGCTTGTATGTAATACAGGTCCACGTTTTATGTTGTTGCTGATGCAACCATTTTAAGATTCATGATGGAGTCCTGTTGGGCACCTATGATGGCTGCGTTCAGTGTGCTCCTTGATCAGTGTGATGATAAGGCTGCTACATCACAGTGCTTGAAGGGATTAAGATTTTCCGTGCACATCACTTCTGTTATGTGCATGCAGACACAGAGGGATGCTTTCTTAACATCCATAGCCAAATTCACATCTCTCCATTCTGCTGCAGACATGAAGCAAAAAAATATTGATTCTATGAAGGTAAGAGGCCACACAAAACATATTTTGTTTATCGAGTTTTGATAATTTGTTGCTGGGTGATCTATTTTTAAGCAAGGTACCTAAAGGCTTACTTTCCCCCATAATACCTTGTTGCAAAACACAATGACAGTTACCATCTGACATGGTGGGACTCACAACAGTCTGGAAAATGGTATTCTTGATTTTCTAATGCTTTCTCCAGCATGTATTAAATGTTCATTTTGTTTCGCTGAGGATCTATCCAACATTTATGATACAGCATGGTTGGGCCACTTAAATATTTCTTTATGCTGTACTTTATTAGCACATTTGTTCACACATACGAATGTTTCAAAGCTGTGGGATATTGGGGGTGATAAATTTACTTTATGTCCTTGAACAGGCTATAATATCTATCGCAATCGAAGATGGCAATTACTTGCAGGAAGCTTGGGAACATGTATTAACTTGTTTATCACGGTTTGAGCATTTACATCTGCTTGGAGAAGGGGTTCCCACTGATGCATCCTTTCTGACAGTACCTCTGATTGAGTCAGAAGAAAAAACTAAGAAGTCTACTTCTGTCCTAACTTCTAAGAAGACTAATGCTCTTCAGAATCCCGCTGTGATGGCTGCCGTTAGAGGGGGTACTTACGATAGCACAGTGGCAAAAGGCAGTGCGTCAGCACTGGTCACTCCTGAACAGATCAATAATTTCCTATCAAGCATTAATTTATTGGATCAGATTGGCATTGTTGAGTTAAATCATATCTTTGCCCATAGCCAAAGATTAAACAGTGATGCTATTGTTGCTTTTGTGAAAGCTCTTTGCAAGGTCTCAATGACTGAGCTGCAGTCTCCAACAGATCCTCGTATCTTCTGCCTTACTAAAATAGTAGAGATTGCGTAAGAAAATTCCTAAAGTTTAATTAAAAATCTGGTATTTACTAATGGCAACAGCAGCCACAACTTTATGTTTTTTTTACTATTCTCATTTCTAACTTCATTTGTGCAGGCATTACAATATGAATCGCATACGTCTGGTGTGGTCACGTATTTGGAAAGTCTTGTCAGACTTTTTTGTGTCTGTTGGGTTGTTGGAAAATCTTTCTGTCGCTATATTTGTGATGGACTCTCTGAGGCAGCTGGCTATGAAGTTTCTAGAAAGGGAGGAACTGGCAAACTATAACTTTCAAAATGAGTTCCTTAGACCTTTTGTGATTGTTATGCAGAGGAGCAATGCTCCAGAAGTACGAGAGCTGATTGTTAGGTGCGTCTCTCACAGATGGTTCTGAGTCGGGTTAATAACATAAAGTCTGGGTGGAAGGGTGTTTTTTTATGGTATGTATGATTTCTATATTTAGTTTGTTGAGGTTTTTGTTCAATCTTACCTGTGAGGTAGTGACTATTAAGTCCCTGCCCTGTAACTTTTCATCAACTTGCAGGTTTTTACTTCTGCCGCAGCTGATGATACAAGAAGTACTGTCCTATTGGCATTTGAGACGGTGGAAAAAATTGTTCGAGATTATTTTCATCACATAACTGAGACAGAGACAACAACATTTACTGATTGTGTTACTTGTCTTATTGCATTTACAAGTAGTCAGTTTAACAGCGACGCCAATCTCAATGCTATTGCATTTCTGCGATTCTGTGCTGTTAAACTTGCTGAGGAAGGATTTGCTTGTCAAGATAGGGCTTTTGAACAACCCAGGAATTCAGCCATGGTGTGTGGTGGAAATGCCACTGTGCAAAAAGATGGTCATATTTCCCTCTGGGTGCCTCTCCTTGCAGGTATGGCATTTTCCTCCCTTCAAAATATTATATTTAGTTCACTTCATGTAAATTGTTGGATGATAATCTGAAGCACTGACCATGTTTTTATCAATTGTGCATTTCAGGTTTAGCTAAATTGACAACTGATCCAAGACTGACTATCAAGAAAGGTGCTGTAGGAGTACTTTTTTGACATTTTAAAGGATCATGGAAACCTGTTTTCACTGACTTTTTGGACCGATATCTTTGAACATGTTGTTTATCCTCTATTTAGCAATGAAAGATCCACACCCAGTGACCAGATTTCATCATCAAATTCCGCAGAGTATAATTTACCTGATCTTGAAACACAAACGTTGGCAGTGAAATGCTTGGTGGGTTTGTTTGTTAATTTCTTCGATGTGATACGGCCAGAACTTGGTAGAACAGCATCCATTGTTACATTTTTTATCAGAAGCCCCTACAAACATTGTGCTACTATTGGTGTATCTGCAATTATGCGTTTAGCAGAGGGGGTTGGTAACAAACTTTCCAAGGAGGAATGGAAGGAGATATTGATCTTATTTAGAGAATCAGTGACGCACACCTTCATCATGTTCTCTAAAATTGTAAGGATGATGCAAGATATTGATATCCCAGATAGAATTGATTCTTATTCAGAAACCGAGCAATATTTGGATCAAGAGATGTATGGTAATGATGAAGAGGAAGCGAATATGGAGACAACTTCTTATGCTATTGTCAAACTGAAGAATCATATGGCCCTACTGCTCATGGTGATACAGGTATCCTTTTTTTTGACCGAATTTATTAAATTGCTCTTATTGGTAGGCCAGATGCAAGATTCAAGTAGGGTTAGCTATTTGGATTTTAGTTCAATAGCTCAGGTTTGGTTCTCCACTAGAATAAACTTTTGGGAGAGCAGAGTGGAATAATGGAATGATGACATCGGGAGAGGGATGGTGTTAAAGTTGCTAAACTGTGGTACCATTATGTCCCTGGACTGTTAACTATTAGGCTTCCTCGGGTGCTGCAGCTTTGGCTTCCATCTACCTGTGTACGCTGGCAAATAATGAGCAAGGATGTGGAGTAAGAGAGGCTTCTTACTTCTTGCTTACCCCAATAAAGATGTCATGCGTCCTGTTAAGTAGTGGCTGGCCCTAACAAAATCAATCTAGAAATAAGAACAAAAATTTAAGTATAAACTAGCATGGCAATAGAATGACTTAATTCAAACTATCCTGTTTGAACTGTGCCTTTATAGGATTGTAAGGGCCTTTCTACACCCAAAACGCTTGCCAATGAGATGAGGGGCTTCCAACTTTCAAGTTGGGTGCACTGCCCTCCAGTCAATGTGGGACTGTGCTAAGTTCTAACAACCTTCCTCAGTTGCCCCTATGTGACAGTTTACCTCTATTAAGATGGCACTATATATGCCTTAGATTGGTTTTTTATTACACTGAAAAACCTCTTAACTGATGACAAGTAATCTAGAAATGATCAGTCTTTCCTTTTGAATTTTCTGACAATCACATTAACATGGCAGTATTTTGTATTCTTTTATGCAGAACATTATTAAATTATACGAGGAGCATAGAAAATATCTTCATGCCGAGCATATTAGTATTCTTTTGGAGATGATGTCAGCTATTGCGACCCATTCAAGTGAAGTGAGCTCTGAATCATCCTTGCAGATGAAATTTCATAAAGCATGTTCCCTTTTGGAGGTATCTGAGCCAGCAATTGTTCATTTTGAGAACGAATCCTACCAGAGTTACATCAAACTTCTTCAAGCTCTGCAACATGACTATCCATCCTTGTCAGAAGAAATGAACATAGAGTCTCAAGTGCTTGATACCTGTGAGCAAATATTGCGAACATATCTGAAGTGCACAGGACACAAACCATATGATGAAACGTCTCAAAGAAATCCATCTTTACATTATGCAGTGCCGCTGAGCGCTGCTAAGAAAGAGGAATTGGCTGCAAGGACTCCTCTGGTCCTTCAAGTGATGAAATTGCTGGGTGATCTGGAGAGGGATTCTTTTAGCAGAATATTACCCTGCTTTTTCCCATTTTTGGTTGATCTGATCCGCTGTGAACATAGCTCTGGAGAAGTTCAACATGCACTGTACAATATCTTCCAATCAGCCATTCTCCCCATGATACGAGTTGAATAGCAGATTGTGACCCACCAATTGTACAGTTTTGTGTGACCCCACTTAGGTTATGTAATTCAGTTCATTATGGCATCACCCCACTAGAGGGGTATACCTATAGGTTGGCACCTCAGCCCTAACTGATTATACCTCTGCAATATCAAATACAAGGTGAAATATATCGGTAGTTCTAGGTGTTGTCTTACCGCTGTAACATCTGAATCCCAACTGAGCCGGTTGTATTGTCTCGCAGGTTGACGTAAAAATGCTGCAGGGTCTGCCATTCAGCGGAAGTTCTATGGTGGATCTTTGTTAATATTCATTTACCTTTAATCAATGATGTTCATCATATATGCTGGAGACAGGCAGAAAGACACGGGTATGGAATCATATAAGCCTATGCACCCGGGCAATTTTCCATGACCCAAAAGTCAGGTGACCTCGGCTTCCCAGAGCCCCATGTTACCATTGTCAATTGCCATCCCCACGATGGAGTTTATATATAGCACAAGAGCTAAGAACCATTTTGAAGTTACTACTGGCTTTGCTACGTCGATTATTTAAAACCATAAACTAGAGGTAGATGCCGCCCAAATATGATTTTCAATTTTGTTTATTTTTTAATTATGTATGTAGTATTTCTTATCCATAGAAACAGATGAATAGTATGGCGAATATGGCCCAGTGTTTTTCCCATCTGTTGCACCTTGCAACAAATCACATTCTTTCCCAAGATAGGGCTGTCATTATTTGATTACAGTTGACATAGGTGATATAGTTTACAGTTTCAGGATAAATAATGTACATGACTCACTGACGATGCAATGACACTGAAATACCTATGCCCTAATGAGACATGGAAACATGCACTGAAGATACTGAAAAGGTGCGAAGAAGAGAATTAATATACACAACCAGATGTTTTGAAAGAATGGACCTGTTCTACGATTTGGACCTACTACATGACCTATATTATACACAGGTTGGAGGCCGGACTCCATTTCCGGCATCCACTTTGGTCCATGCACAGACCACCAGCTATCAGAATTTCTGGCAGGAGATGGGAAATGTACAGACACTGACAGAAGCTGAGCAAGAGGGGCACTCGAGCTTTCCTGCCCCATCCAGCGGAGCAGATCAGACATTCACATTATAAGAAGTTCTGGTAACCATGGATAAGGACAACCTGCAATATGATATGAAACAGTACATCAATCAGCCTAGATGCAGCATAGACTGATGCCCTTTAATAAATGGGCCTGCTGCAAATATTAGATAAATGTGATAACTAACCTTTAGAGTGCAAAAGAAAACAATTTGCAAGAAAAAAAAGCATGCCACCCAATTTAGCGGTACGACTTTTCTTAGTCCTGCTGCAGACTATTGGATGCCTACAGAGAGGAAAACAAGATGTTACAACAGATTAACAGGAATATTTCAGAGGCAAACAGTAAACACACCTAAAATTCGTCACTTTCTGGCATCCTTGTCAACCTGTCGTTTGTTCAGAAATGTTGTTCTGCGGGAATGGCGGTGCATGAGCAGGGACCAAAAGCTGCTGAGGTCGTGGAGCTCCTGTTTTCACAAAAGTGCTTTATAAATTATATGAAGAGCATGATAAGCTATGGCGCCCTACACAATTGAAAAATATTCTTGGACAAGTTCATTTGATTCGACTCAACAGTGAATTTCTTACCTGGAGGAAATTGTTGCTGAACTGGTGGTATGCGCACAACATTTGCAGCATTAACATTCTGATTCGATAGTGGGAGAACATGACTTGGGGCATAACCAGGAGAATAAGCATGATCACTTGGTACAGGTTGGCCAAATTGCCCATATGGGTAGACTGCCGGGCCTACTGTCCTTGGGCCACCATAAACTGGAACATACTGTTGTCCAACATATGGACCATATGCATTCTACAAAGCTAAAAATAAAACAAATGAGCAATAATTTAAATTTATTTCATTTAGTCAAGAAACGGATGTGGTTTAATGTTTCTGGAGTTCTCAACCTGCTGATATAGGTATTCAGGTCCATATGCTGATGGCCTCGTTGAAAAAACAAATGGTCATTACTTAAACAGATAGGCTGCTCAATTGGAACTGAAAAACTACTCCTGTAAAGGAATACTATATGTACACTGCATCCTGCTAATCATAGAGTTCCAGACTAGCTACAACTACAACTTTAATCATATTGCCAGACATTCACAATCAAACAAGAGATCAAATTCATAGCTGTACATGATCTTTGCCAACAAGCAATGAATGAGCTGTTAACCTACCCATAAGAAGGATATACAAAGGCCTGTGAGTAGTTGTATGGGGATTGCTGATATGTTGGGCTTTGCACATACATGCCCCCTGGAACCGCCACACCTCCATTGTATGGGATGACCGGCCTTATAGGTGCTACTATACCACATTGAAAAGAAGGGGAAATTTTGTCACAATAATTGAATACACACACAGGCTAAAAAGGTAAACATGCGTGCATTAAGAAAATTTGTTTGCTATAAGTTTTGCAACTGAGACTAGCATACAGTATTAGTGAAACTTGTTGGCTTAATACACCGAGAGGAGTGTGGATGGATCATGGAGTTATAATTCACTTTGGACTTTTACTGGTGGGTCCTGGTCAGTAATTTTCTGATAGACAAGGCACAAGCCTTTTTTATAGCAAACTTAAGAAAACTTTGCTATTTTTACTCTATAACAGCACGTATACGAAAGTATTCAAGAAGGCTCATGAATAAGCAGTAAACATCTCAAAAAGCATTGCATTCCATCACGAGCAAAGATGTGGATCAACGCTTCATCTTGTGATGATTAATATCTCCAATTCCAATTTGCAGACCATGAAACAGATGCCTGACATGTTTTTACTCTATAACAGCACGTATACGAAAGTATTCAAGAAGGCTCATGAATAAGCAGTAAACATCTCAAAAAGCATTGCATTCCACCACGAGCAAAGATGTGGATCAATGCTTCATCTTGTGATGATTAATATCTCCAATTCCAATTTGCAGACCAGGAAACAGATGCCTGACATGTAAGTGGACAATTTTTATTGAAAAGCAGTGATGCTTGCCCACCCTTTCTACCACCCACCAGCTCATACTCTGTTATCTATTATTCTCTTCAATCAAGTCCAACACTACTATCTCTCCCCAAACATAGTTGGCAGAGAGGACTAGTAGCTGTGTTGGTTTGTATATTTTTGACAGCTAATGCTTTATTTTCATAAATGAGCTCGTAGAAGATCCTACAATCTTCTTTGGGGCTAGAATGTTCAGGCAACGAATTAAATACCTACTAGTCCTGAACTGACAAGTCGTTTTCCCTCAGTTAGAACTAGTGACAAGACTATTAGTTGGTGTTGAAAAGATGGGGCGGGGTGAAACTAAGCATCAAGTTTTGTAACAATGAAATCATAGAAATGCCATGATTGTGGTGACCCCAAATCTCCAATACATTGGGAATAGAGCACTGATTAACAAATTACTTTGCACCAAGAGCGTAAGCGGATGGAAAGAATCATACGTATATTTGACAGCTATGCAATTAGGAAATCAGGGAACCAAGTTAGCAGACCTACCGAAAGGCAAAGCTGGACCAGGCCTCCCTAAGATGGCAAGGTTGCAATTAGCGCGTCGGCCGTCGATAACTGGGTATGGGTCCATGCAGGCCATCCTCGCTGACTCTGCGTCCCGGAAGGTTACCTATACACACATCCACACATGATTAAAGTGAATCAAAAGTAGGAAAAAGACGAAATGTCTGAGCCAAATTTGGAACCCCCCAAAAGGCCAAAGGTGCTCTGTTTTCACCATACCCCCGTGGAAAATTCTGATAGTTCCCTGATTCATACAAGAAAGAATGCTAAATTTCTTTTCAAATTCCGACGCCAAAATTTGAACTAGGTTCCTGAAAAGCCTGAACACAGAAACCCTAGAAATGCTGAACACGGCAACTTTCACTAGCTCCTGGTAACAAAATTTAACTATTTCCCTCAATCCTGTTGGTAATAAGTCAACAATCCACCAAAATTCCTAAGTATGGAATGCAAAACTCCCAAATTCAAAGACCTTCACTGCCAATTGCCACCACCACAACGGCATATACAGATGATCACAAAACCTCCCAATTCAACCCGCAAAGTTCACCTTTGCACACAGAATCACAACATTCAACTCCAGAATCGAACACAACCTTACGCTCCAGAATCGAACCTGGCCCCTGATCCCCAACCAAGGAAAAAAGAAGTACAGAGCAAACGCCCCAAGCAGCATAGCACATACGAACAAGAAAAAAAAAAGAAACAGGAGGAAGGCGTGCTCACGAATCCGTAGCCCTTTGAGCGGCCCGTGCCGCGGTCGGTGATGACAACGGCCTCGAGAATGTCCCCGTAGACCTCAAAGTGGGCGCGAAGCCCCTCGCTTCGCGTCTCCCAGGCGAGGCCGCCCACGAAAACCTTGGTGAAGGTGGTATCTCCGTATGGGCCGCTCAGGTAGTGTAGCGCCGGCGGGCCCCAGCCGCCGCCTCCGCCGCCACCTCCTCCTCCTCCGGTCCCCGCCGGCGACCGCTGCGGCGTCATCCCTGCCGCGGCCAGCCCACGCGCATGCACGAGAGCGCGCGCGCGCGTAGCCGCAAACCCCTAACCCCAGCAAGCAGCTGCCGACTAAACGCGACACGACACAGGCGCAACAAGTGGGGAGGCGAGCAGCGGAGGCGGCCGGGTTAGCTAAAAGCTAGGGCTGATAGGCCCGCGCGCGCAGGCGGGGGGCGTAATTATAGCGGTGGGGATGGCGCTAATCGGAGCGGCGGTTATTATTAGCGGTTGGATTACGCGGGAGCGGGCGGGGGCCGGAAGTTGGTTGGTAAGGGCTGTTTGCAACTGCCGAGCAACGAGCGCGCCAGAGACTACTAGTAGAGGCCTCAGCGGGAACGGCCGGACGAAGATGGGGACTGGAGAGAGCTGAGGGGCCCCGTGGCCTGTGGGAAATGGGGGCAACACTGGAAGTGGGCCCGTCTCATTGCACCGGCAACATGGGCAATGTTCGGATGGAGGCCCGCTAACCATTTCTACTGGATGATATCTTATCAATCTCTTATATATCTAAAAAGTACTCCCTCCGTCCAAAATTATAAGTTATATTTTAACTTTTTTGAGAGTCAAAACATCTCAATTTTGATCAAAATTATAGAAAAAATTACAAAGATTTATGACATTAAATAGATATACTATGAAAATATAATTAATGAAGAATCTAATTATATTTATTTGTTATCATAAATATTATTGTTTTATATATAAATTTGGTCAAATTTGAGATATTTTGACTCTCTAAGAAAGTTAGAATGACTTATAATTTGGGACGGAGGGAGTAGCATTTTAAAAGATCAGTATCATCCGCTCAGAAAAAAAAGATCAGTATCACAAATGACAAAACGAGCTTTGAGGGCCAAAAATTCTCAAGAAAATCATAAAAGCCCGGAAAGAAAATTATTACTAACGACCAATTCCCAAGGAATGACCGCCAAATGTACAGAGCAAGAGAGAGGAAAGAAACCCAAACGGAAACGGGTGCGCTCGCTCGCGGCACTTGCGTGAATGTGCATAATATGGTTCGGAGGCTCGGAGCTATATATGGTCACCGCCCTTCTCCCTACTTGCCATCAGGGGAGCCCGTCCTACAGCTGGTACATCAATGGAAATATGGGGAGGGTGAGGGAGAAGAAGAGGTGGAAGAAAGAAGAAAAATGGAGAGAGAGAGAGGAAGAAGAAAAGATCAACCCTCCATTCAATCATGTTCTGCATCCGCCACTGCTTGGCATAACAGGTATATATGCTAGCTCTTGCGAGAAAAGCACGGCAGGGGGGTGCAGCTGATACGATCGCTGCATTGCAGGCTTACCCACAGGTACAGTATGCCCAAAAAGCCTGAAGCTTCTTTTCTCAAACCCACCCTACTTATGCTTCAATCAATCATGCTCATGCGCTACATTTTAGCCAAGTAGACAAGTAACATTCTCCCATCCTTTGCCAAGCCAACCGTCTTAGCAACGTTTGTATCTCCGAATAAACTTATTATAAAAATAGACTCAACAGTCTATCTAGTAATACTAATTATGTACTATAAATATTAATAGTTTATTATATATATTTGGTTAAAGTGGAGAACATTTAACTTCTCGGGAGGAGAGAACGACAGATGGGATAAAGCGAGTATTTCATATAACGTATCCAATAATATTGATTTAATGCAGCAAATATTATTCTTCTTTACTAGAAATTTGACATAACTTGACATAATTTGACATAGGATTGACTCAAATCTTTTAAATTCTAGGACCGCGAGAGTAAGTCCTAGCAACAAATGTCAGCAAATACGTATTATTTTATCTCCCTTGAAACAACTGTAAAACAGCTTTCTGATTTCAACATTTCAAAAACAGCTTTCTGATTTCAACATTTCAAAAAGCAGAAAGTCAAAAGTAGTGTCCAAGGTATTTTCAAAACTATACTATCCAAAAGCAGCTACTTCGGGAAAAAAAAAGCAGCTTCGTTCCTACTCTTTGATTGGTTTTTGATCTTTTTTGAAAGAAAAAAAAAACAGCTCAAAAACCCACCCAAAGACACTCTTAGTACGTTCTGGTGGTAGGGCAAAGGTGAAAGGATCCAAACCTCGCTTTTCGCTGTGGACACGCACGGCGGCATGACATGAGGCAACTTGCGAGTTGCGACCTTGCCACAGAGCTGCTGAAAGCAGAAAGGACTGATCGACCCGGGAAGGATTATATAATATAATATAAAAACGAGAAACTTGCACGGACCGCGCCGTGGCCCCGTGGGCCTGTGGGGCTGGCTGTCGCATCGCCATCACATTCACATCGCGGCCTGGACTCTGCTTTCGACAATTCGGACGACGGGAGGGAAAGACGGAACACGCAGTCACGTCTGATGCTGCCTTCGGAATTCGGATGATCCGATGCGATCGGATCGTCAGAAAGAAGGAACCTCAACTTTGGCCCATGCTATGCTACGCCCTGTCTTAAATACTCCTAACTCTGGAGGGAGGTGCAAGCACGACCATGCTGATCGGCACTACGCCGAATCGCCAATGAGCCCTCCATCCTAAACATTCGACATTTTTTAAGACTAAATTCACGACCGGTAGCTAATTTTTGCAGTGTGGTGTTACCGGGCTCCTAAAATTTCAATTTTTGATATTTAGGTTTTTAGGTCATAAGTCATAACTCTTGAATTTACATATTTGGCTTCTTTTTCTCCACACTTTCTTCGATCTTTATACTTCTTCTTAGCGCCCTCTTTCTCCTCACTACTTAGTTTACCAACAATAATGAAGCTGCTCTAGCAAGGGGTTGGTTGAGTCGGTACGTTGGAATGCGATGGATCTAGGCCCTTTCTCCTATGTCATTGTTTTCTCTCTTCCATGCCCTCTCGCACACCTTCATCTTTGTGGACCTTGGTCGCGATGCTTGGAACCATCATCAAATCTAGCGCCGAGAAAGTCATGGCAACGCATAGTGGGGAAGGAGGAGGCTTAAGAGAGAGAAGAGCGACTCTAACATGTGGGTCCATATGTTGGGTCCACATCAACATACAATTGACATTCTACATCAATGCACACAGAGTACATCGGTGCCCATTTGGACCTATCCTAGTGGGCGAGACAAGTCTAGGGACACAAATATCAAGATTCAAAGTTGGACATAGATGATATGGTACTGTCAACAAGTTCATGGATAAGAATATCAAAATTCAAAAGCTAGGACCCGAAGGCTTGTTGTTGTTGTACCCCTTTTTCTATTATTTAACTTCAATAAAATTCCTGTAGGGGCTTAGCTCCTCCAGTTTCTTCAAAAAAAATGGCATTGCCATGCAAGTTTAAGAACCTATCGTGAATTTTACTCCTTTTTATAAAAAACTTTGCATGCAGTCACTATTATAAACTACTTTACTCTTCTTTAAAACATAGATGCACTCAACATTATAAACACTTGTGTAAGGATCGTGAGCAAATTCTGGGAGACCCAAGAGGCAAGGGGTGAATTGAGTCTCTAAAAACTTAAACTTAGGTCTTTACTTGGACTTTACTAGAAAAAACATAAACTAAGTCGCATGATGTGCACCTTAATCTTTTTTAAGTGTACTCTACCTATCCAACTCACAAAGAGTTACACGACCTAAAGCCAATTCTATCAACTAGTCTATATATGCTAATATAGAAAAGTTAAAGGCCATGCAAGTCAAGCACAATAATAAGGAAGCATAAATGAGGTAAGTAAAGAGCAAATCAAGACAGGGTAAACTCCCAGAGATGAAGATGTACCATGTGGTATCGGTTGTCAAAACATAACTCCTACTCCATAATGGAGCTCCATTGACGTACGGTCCTAGCCACTAAGCCTTCTCCTGGTCACGGTGTTCAGCTTACGACAAAGGCTTGTTGTAACACCCTACAAATCCAATTTATAAAAATAGTAAGTAAAATGATTTAATTATATTTTTGTGTACATATGAACATAGGAAAAATAAAAAAATCAAAATTAAATTAAATATAGGTTAGGAATATGTGCATACACTCATGCTGGTGCATTTGCTTTTTGTGATGTTTGGTTTTGGTTTGAACTCAAAATAATTTGCTTTGAATTGTATTTTTTATGGACAGAGGAAGTATAAAAGAAAGAACCATCCACAAATCCTCCCAAGCTCGTGGACCACGGGGGTTTCAACTTATTTGTTTCTTTGTTGGCCTAAATAGTCATTTAGCTCATTTAAACACCATATAGACACTATATGGTAGTAAGTCGTTTGTGTTCAATCAGCCGTTTTATCCTGTTTAATCGGTCATTTAGCTTGTTTAATGGATTGTTTAACTTGAATAATGGATAAACAATGGTGATCGATTAGAGTTTAGCAAAACACTTTTTTCCTCAGACGAGCATTGTTGACTTATAATAACATGGTATTCCCACTAAAATCAAAGATGAAAGGGGAAATGAGAAACTCCAAACTTTCAGACGCTCAATTAGAAAAACTAACTAACGCTCAATCAGAAAAACTAACTAACGATCCATCTGAATGTTTATGTTTTCTTTTGTTTTGTTTCTGATGAGATGTAACCCTCACCGCCACGTGCTAGCAGAAGTCGGTGCAGGCATGTTACTACCTCCGTCCCAAAAAGAATGCAAGTATGGGTTGCGTGCCACGTAAAGTGATTCACGTTTGACCAAGTTTCTAGTGCGTGGTATTCACACTTATGGCTCCAAATTAATTTATTATAAAAATACATTTCGTGATTAATTTAATGATATTTATTTGTATCATAAATATTGATACTCTTTATCTATAATTGGTCAAACTCAAGTTACTAAAACGTGACACTGTACTAAAATTGTATTCTTTCTAGGATAGAGGTAGTACATCATTTGACAGTTGGCATTGGTTTACCTGAAGAACTCTTATAGATAGATTATTTGATTGATCTTAACACAAATGTCAAGATGGCCGAGTTGGTCAAAGGCGCCAGTTTCAGGTACGGGTCTGAAAGGGCATGGATTTGAATCCCA